AAGGGCTAAACCGGTCGTGGGCTGTCGACGGATTTTCAGCAACCTTATGAGTAGTACATTACAAACAAAACTCAAAATGTTATCCATGATCCGCTTTAACACAAATCTCGTATGTAGTTTCAGCTGACGAGCAATGACAGGAAACATTGGTACGGCCTGAATCGTGTTGGATTTTTACTCGATAGAGCCGTCGCTGGAGTTTTTTTCAAAATACGATTGATATTAGTCCGTTAGCAACGCAAATTCATTCTTATGTAATTTCTTCCCCGTAGTGACGCGCGGAGTGAATATCATGCAAACAAAGCCCGTCACTCCGTATCCTAGTTCTTTTAAGAACAGTTTTCCGACTGCACGAGACTGTATTCATATCCTTTTATTCGTTCTAGGAAGTGTCCCCAAGTTAATCATAATTTCACTTGGAATTGTGAGGTATCCATAAATTCTGTGTCCCATTCAATGATGGATTCTATAGTATCTGAATGCCGTTTTTTTAAAGCAATAAACCAAGCATTTCCTTATCAGGGAAATAAGACTTTAGACAGTCGAACATGGAAGGAAGACGCTCGACAGTCAAGTGACAATCTCCGAAGGTTTCCAGGAAACCAACAGTCAGATGAATTTTGGAGACGATCGCTGCGTAGCTATCGTGACAATATACAGCTTTCTGGCTGAAGATCGGCTATTGTTCCTCGCGGTCGAATTTAACACAACTGTAATGTTACCCTCAGCCAAAATTCATACCAATGAACAAGAAAAAATGTCCGGTATTCGCCGGGGCTTGAAGCGTGGACTTCGGAATAAACATAAGACACTTCTTAAGGAGCTTCGGAAAAGTAGAAAAGAGTGTCCTTTTGAGTAGAAACCGGCGACGGTGAAAACACACTTCCGGAACATGGTTGTCCTTCCAGAGATGATTAGATCAGTAGTCGCTGTTTACAACGGCAAAACGTTCAACTCGGTTGGAATCCAGCCGGAGATGCTTGGGCACTAGCTTGGCGAATTTTCGATTACTTACAAACCTGTGAAGCACGGAAAATTCGGTGTGGGATCAGAGAAATAAAAAGAATGTTTGTCCATATCGTGCTTGAAGGATCGAGGCTATTGAGAACACCTGATCACCGATGCTGAAGTACGTCGACAGAATTTCGGAAGAAACAACACACTCATGATAGATGAACTGATCGCACTCCATAGGTTGCGCTGGCTTGGCATCAATGACTTGGTAATGAGATATGAAAGTCATTACTAGCAAACTCAGCTGCGCTGGTCACTGCCGTCTCTTAGATGGGGAAGCCGAGAGGAAAAACACATATTGTTATAGATATTGTCGGGGCCAGATAGCTCAGTAGTTAGAACGCTGGTTTACTGAACGGAAGGTCCATTGTTCGACCCCCTCCTCTGCCTTTCGACTTCCTCTGTCTAGGCTTGGGCAGCCTGGCAGTATCCCAGCCCTCGTGCTTCCTTTGGGTGGCATGGCAGCCAGGCACCGAAAGGGTCTTACAGCCGAACGGTTTTTTAGAGTCACTGTCTGACATGGCCCAATTGCGCCCTGAATGGTGCTCGTGCATCCAAGCGATTGTCCTCAGTGCATAGCTCCCCTTTCAGTCTCCCCAATTAAAAGTCCACTGACAACCTGTATTTACGCATCAATTATATCAGATCCTGTCACCAATGTGCGGCTACCTATCCCACTTAACCAGGTCATCGGTGAACAAAAATGTGGCAGCTATAACCACCGCACAACAAGTACGCGGATCTTACAGCCGATAATGATAATGCGATAAGACGTTATCTTAATAGGTCTTTCAGTATCCCAGATTATATGGCAGCGGTCCACGAGACACAGAAATGCTATATTTTGAGGATGCGTGTCTGAGAAAATAGAGAGCCTAATGCACCACGGGCAGAGAATTTCAAAATGGCTATGGTTTTTTCAATTTCGAGTATATTTCCATTCGATCAAGCCTTGTCCGTAGTAAGGGGTTCTTAAATAAAGCGGAATATTCTGCAGTCAACAGCAAACCTAACACTAGAAATTCACTGTTTTATCACCCCTTGAGAACATTTTCCAATCTCTCCTCTGGAAAACTAAAATGTCAAACTTTATTTTACTCAATCATCAAGGAAGATCTGAAAATTACAAAACTTGTGTTTCACAAAATGAAGGATTAGTGACACGGTGACTTGACAGGACCTTTCAGAGAAATCTGTCAGTATCACGACAGCATCGCATCGTCAGGTATGGAGTTTCCTCTGCTTCTCCAGAGGCCACGGTACGTCGTGTATACCGTAAATCTGAGATCTGCGAGGGAATACATTTGGTGCAATCAGATTGGCACCTGATTGGGGTACTAGAAACGTTTCCATCAAAACCAAGATTTTGTTGCGCCAGCTCATAACCAGGCCAACTTGGTTTTTATGCACAAGACGTACTTTCAAAAGATGGCGGTTTTCGTCGTTTTAAATCTACTTTCCTACGCGGGGTGCAAGATCCTTCCCATTTCAGTCCCTAACGTGCGTCGAGTGAGTACAGCTCACTAGCCGCTTCTTCTTATGTGTCCGGGTAATGTACCGATCCCTTTCGTCCCGATGTTTACTCATCTCGTGTTTCGATTCCTCACTAGTTACTGTTTCAGTATATCTATGTATTGTTCTCACAATCAAGCAGTCCTGAAAGTTCTCCGGCATCGTGGGCGCTTCCGAAACGATCGGCGAACTACCGCTTGGAGCGTAGGGTGTGTAAACAGATACACAATACTACGAGAATATATGTACTAATGAACAGATATCTCCAATCACGGTTAACTCACCAAAATCATACTGATAGTTACCAACTGGGTGAATCAACTTTCTGATTCCGGGCAGTTTAATGGCCAATACTGGTTCATAATTAGTCTGATTCCATAAAAGGCAACCGGCGAATTGTAAGACACGCTCAGCTGGCACTGCAGTAATTGCCAATTTCAGCATCACGTGTCCTTAAATACATTGGGACAATAAAGGCTCTCACGTAGTCACGTGTTTTTTTGGGATCACTCACGGCTCAGTGCTGGGTACAAGGACAAAATGACGTGAAAGGCACCAGGACCAATACGGCAGTTATTTTATTACAATTACTCATTTCATCTATTCCAATATTCGTAGACTCCTTATATCTCCTTATGGACAGCAAAATGTTCATCCACCCGTTTAAGAGAAGTTTATTTTATTTAACGTTTTGGATTTTTCGTGCCACTCGCAGTCATAGTCCATGTTGAGCCGATCACTGACAAGAAACATAGGTTTCGTGTCCCCCTCACACACATTTAATGTGAAAGAGCTTAAATTATTTGTACTGTGTTTCTGAAAAAAAGCAATCGGACGTGGCCAAATTAGATGTCATTTTTGCAGTACGGATATCCTGAAAGGTTCGTACTCAAGAACAATTAACATTTTAATAAATTGTGAGATTTCTCCGAAATCTTAGCTCTTAGGTTGACCAAAGTCTACTTTTCTAGTGCATGAGAGAGAATTCAATGGCCACACGATGACCCAAGACAGAAATAGACCTCAACGCTAAAGCACACTGTTTGACAGTCGTTCAATTAAAAACTGGGTGTCTCCGTCTTCCGGAACGAATATGACTACAAAATGGGGGCTAGGTCCTGAAATGTGCCAAAAACAATAAAATGAATCTAAGGCATACGCAACATCTAATCGGTATACTGGTCGGTCACATTAGCCTCAAGTTCCTCAAGTAGATAAATACCCAAACAGCAGGCGGCTCGGTTGTTTCGATTGTCCTGTTATTGATGGCCTTGAGAAGAGTTGATAGCACTCCATAGATAATTTACGTTGTATGATTCTACTGAATTTATCCTGCCGATTAGGTTCAGTTCTAAATCAGCCTGTTTTGTGTCTGAAAATCTTCCGGTTGGTGCCAAGTCTAGTAAACTGGCGAACAGTCGGAATTAAGAATACAACGTGAATCCGTCCACTTCATGGATCATTCCCTTCGAGGGTGCAGCAGGATGATTCTTTTTCAAAATTTCGTTGAACGTTATAAGCAACAGTTTGAACAGGTATTTTCTTTGTTTGTTTTGGAATGGAGTTTCGACTGAAATGCTTGACGCGTCTGAAAGCAGATTAAGCAAGCTGTTACCACTTTGATCATTGACGAACCATCAAAAGCAAGTGGGAGCATCATAACGGCATGGTGATGATGACCTATTTTGCGTACCTCATCATCGGTTTACACACTATCGGAATAAACATTAAGATAGAATAATAGACAGACAATTCGACGAGCTAACATACTCGTCAGCGAGATGAGGTCCTTAGACTTCAGAACAGGTTAAATAAAAGTACTGGGGCTGTAGGCTTGAGTCACTCTTGGTCTTGCCAATGGGAGTCAAGGCTAGCCACAAGTTCTCCCCGGTTTACAAAAATTGATCCCGTAGTGTCGAATCGTCTCCAATTAAGGAAAACTCGAAGGCAGCGCCTACCTGATGAGCCTCAGCAGGGGCGAAACCAATTGTGAGCGGTCGAAGTGTTTTTCAGCAACCTTATGAGTAGTGTATAATGCCTACATACTGTATAGCGACATCTCCAGTATCGTACCCGTTGAAACATGAGATGACCAGGTGCAGCACATTCAGTTGCCTAAGAACATCATAAACCGTCCCTGGCGAATCTGCCGTAAAAAACAACTTGCTATGGAAATAAGCGTATTTGTCAAAAACTTTCTTGGTTCTTTGCGCTTGTCACAACCCAAGAAGCGACTGCACTGAACAGGATTCTCTAGTTAATAAGTGCTGAGATCTTTCGAAAGTACCTGGAAATCCTTGAAGATGATCGTATCTTGGTTCTTCTTATGTACTTGCCGCCGCAAGTAAGTTTGTAAACAACATGCACAGAAGGTAGCCAAGGCTTCTGATTTGCCTAGGTTGATTTCTATGGGCGTTCATCGTGTTTTGTTAGGCACTACTAAAATGGCAGCGTTAAATGCTCTCGTGAGAGTTTGACCCAATCGGTACGTTGCATTTGTGTCATTCTGGTTCCCCCTTTGAACCGTATTGTGGAGAAAACTGTTTTCGAGAACATTATCTCGTTTCTCCTTCCGTTCAACGGCCTTTCCTTACTTCTTCATGAAGTAACAGGGATAACAGTTCTCCTGCAGTACGGTTGGGTGTCTTGAGTATCTTCCCACCGTCTCATCGGAGTAACATTTCTCAACTTGTTGCCAAAAACCTTGCACCAAGGTTCGTTTATACTTTATTGGACAACAGCTTTTGGAATGTAACTATTTTCCTGTCCAGATTGACCTGTGGAATATAACTTAGATGTGTTTTCGTACTCCGATTGTGTCTGATATACCCGCGTACACATATACGTTTGTATTGGGCGGGTTTTTTCAATTCGAAAAAGGTCCCATTTGTTTCAAAATACACCAATTAAAAGGTGATTTTTCGGAGAGTGAGCGAGACTTCAAACCATTTTTTCTGGGGGTTACTCGAACGTGGGTACGTATGGAACGCCTTTCAGGTGTGTCTTCACACTTTCCGCTCCGTTGGTTGTGGTAGTAAATAGCCTTGTCACGTTCGCACTGAATTTCCGTGACTCACGTAACACAGTTCAGCAGCCTAATCGTTGATCCGTTACAATTTCAGTCAAGATAATTTGTACTATTATCATTTATTTTTGAGGAGCTTGGTCGCAACCACAAAAAGTGAATGCACCAACCTATGTAAAAAAAATTTTGAAAACACGCGTCTAAAGATCAACAACCGAAGAAAGAACAAACAATGTTGAATGCTCTTCAAGGCGCGGTAAGCGCTAGCACAGCACAAGAAACACGCGTCTAAAGATCAACAACCGAAGAAAGAACAAACAATGTTGAATGCTCTTCAAGGCGCGGTAAGCGCTAGCACAAGCAAGACTCGCACATCAGGCACAAAGTATCCGTCATACTGGGTCTGGTCTGAGATTAAATGGGAGAAATGTACATTCAACCGCCATGTCCACGCATAAAAGTGTCATGAGTACGCAGAGCCTACAATTACAAGCAAACACAAGTCATTGACTGCGATCTCAGGAAGTCCAAATCCAATAACAGCCTTAGCGGATTGAGGAAAGCAGACCCCTCGATAAGAGATGATCATCGGTTGGTGAACAAAAAAGTCGACACCACAACAGATTGCACGTAGGGCTGAGATTATGACGAGGGAATATTCACCATACTTCTGCTTCTTCTCATTCCACAC